ATTAATGTCACAGTGTGCTAGTGAAAAATTCTACTTGAAGACTATAAACATCTGTATCATTTCTTTATGATTAACTGCGAGGGATTTTTCTAACAGATTTCTTCCCCCTAATTAATGTTTTGAATGTAAGATTAACAAGTCAACTGCATTTTTGTACTTACACCTGTCAAATAGCTACATTTCAGGTAACTACATACCATTGAGCCAATGGCCATTCCAGGTGAATTATTGTATTGTTGAACTTGTACCTATAAATATTAGTTGTGGTCCAATAATGCATTTAAAATTTTACCCACCAGCAATAAATTTTTACCCCATTTTGGAAGTGAAAGAATACACATATTTGAGCTAGGAAGAAGAAACTTAAAGGCTGCACAAATTGGAGAAGCAAAATCATTATACAATTATGATGAATGATTTCCCTGCATTGGCAGTTTGGCAAAATGGGAAATGCGGTTGAACTACTCCAATAAAATGCTTACCAAAAACTACACCACTTGACCCTGCCATGTTTTCCTAATTATGACAACCTTTTCCACCTTGTATACTTGTAATCAAAATTCTATGACAACCTAGGAACTACATAGATTTTCATCACTCTAGCTCTTCTACTTTCTTATTAAAATATAAGTTGGTCATTTCCACAGTGACCCGTGTAAATTTTTAATTATTGCTCACACGTTAAAAAAAACTAAAAAAGGGAAAAAAATTATGAGAGGTGGATTTTTCCTTTAACCTTGAAAAAATGTATATCTAAAATGTGTTTAGTATACAAGTGAGAGGTCTACATCATAGGTATACTCTTGTACAATTTGCTTGTGTGTGTCTTCCCCTTTAATGCAAAAGATAGTGACGGATGAGAACTTTGTTACATTTTGAATACTAAAGTACCCCAAACCCAAAATGCATTCCATGGTAAGGGTAGGGAAGAAAAAAAAGGAACCCAATGGGGTCTCCCTCTCAAAGCAGGAAAAGCAAGAAAGAATCAAACTTAACTAGAAGACAGTAAAAAGAGAGAGAGAGAAGAAAAAATGGGTTGCTGCCCCCTTTGACTGCCTCGATAGTTTTACCATGGATATTACTAGGTAGGTTATTTAAGAAGACAAAAAGCAAAAGCAAGAAGCAGATCTTCTTCCAGTTCTTTTTGGTTTTTTGTGACCTTTATTTTGTATCTGCAATTATCAATTATTTGCGAGGAAGATAATCCTAGTTAAGATTTGTTTGACTGACAAATCAATGTTAATGTGATTTTGTTACGAAAATGTGTTTATCATGTTAAATATGAATGAAGATTGTGTGTGTTAATAAATATGTTTTTTATTAAAATCTACAGCAAGAGTAGTGGAGGAGTAATAGTTACATTTTTTACATAATTTTTAAAATTTTTTAACTAGTGTCATAAGCACATGTATTCGGATTTTTCTCAATTATTATTATTTGTTGAATTACAAGGGCTGAGAGCCAGAAATATTACCATTGTGATTATAATTATACAAACACCAACTTCGTGTTAATTCGTTATGATGAGAGTACAACAATGAATACGTATTGTCCCAAGTTCCAACCAGTCAATGCTCTTCAATTATTAGTTTAATTGTGTGACCAATTAATGCTTTCCTAAAATAAAAATCCAATCCTCTTCATCATCAAGATACCTTATGATAACACTACGCAAGACTCATTTTCTTGTCTGTTTCTTTCTTCTTGTTGAATAATGAGTACTGTTTTAGCTTCAGATTCTACTGCACATATAAGAAAGGTTTGGTGCAATACCGTGTTGTTGATTCAAATCTAACTAACGGTGTTCCCCTTCATACCACCACCACTTGATGGCATTACGAATATTTCTATTGCTTTTTCTGTTGGGAAAAAAAGTGTCATGGTTTCTTTTAAGATATGCTTAGTGCTGCTCTTTTTTATATCGTTATCATAGTCATTTCCCATATACATGTTTCCATGTAGAACTGTCTTTTAAGACCTATAATAGTTTGAACTCTCTTGAATATATTCACATAAAATCAAACATTTCTGCCTTTTCCTTTCAAGATTTGTGATTATTGGGTATATTATTAAACTCCTATTATACGCACCTAAAGAATACTGTTTGTCTTGTATGACTTGAATTATGTTTAAAATACATCAATATTGATTTTTATGTAATTTCTTTAACCCTACCCAAGTAACATATTTTGATGGTCAAGTATTTAATGTCATGCAAACAAAAAGGAAAACTCAAATTTTGTGTCTCTTAACTAGAATGATAGGAAGTTGAGCATCCAAATATCATCCTTTTTCATCATATCCTTATTGAATCCTTAAACGTTGATTCAACTTAGATACCACTGAAGAAGATGCCGTGTATCTTGTAGATTGTCAATACTCAAAGATGGAAGACAAATAGATGAAGACTTTGCACATCCGAAATTGTGGGACCACTTCATTTTTGCTTTAGACATATGCAATTACCATATGTGGCCCAATTCTCTTTAGTCTTTGCTACACAATTCTCCCCTTTACAAGTTTATTTGGACTATTCAAATGCCCACCTTTTCCTTCCTCATTGCCTCAAATCATTCCAAAGAGCCACATTTAACGACCCATAAACGTAATCGTGCTCTTAAATTCCTGCAAAAAGGAAAAGTAGATCACACCATCACCTATACTATTCAGTGAAGGTAAGAATAGAGTCATGTTAAGAGACACCATTCATAAATACATATTATATTTTGCATCCACTAATATTTTTAAAAAAAATTATGATTATAATGAAAGTTTTTATGCAATAATTTATAGAATCTAATATTTTATGCAACATTTTTGCATAAAGAGAAGATTATATTATGCTGATAAGATAACCTTGATTTGATCGCTATGGAAGTCCACTCATTACTCATGTCTTTGAAAAATTCACAAGGCAGAAGGGGTTCCAATTGGCCCCCCCATTTGGTGCTTAATTTGATCCTACATGCTTCAACCAAATATAACTTTTATGCATTTATTTCCCTATCCACGATTTCTTCGCCCGAATTTGATTAGACCCATTTGCTTTGTCCTTTTCTCATTAGTTCCTGAAATTCTGAATTTTGTGAATTCAAACTAAATGGTTGCTAAACTCGTTATACCTTTGACCCGTATTAATTTTGTTATATTGTCGAGGCCGCGGCTAGTGGTTATTTTTTTGGCTTAAGGTGTCAAAAAGTATTAGCAAGACAGTTAATACAAACAGACAGTGATTAGTGGAGGTTTATGAAATTGTTAAGTATTTCTTTTGGAGGGTGGAATTGTGAGATGGAATCCCTTTCTTTTCTTCTCATATTTTTAAATAACAATAATATGCTTCGAATAGCAGTATTGCGCCGTTAGCTACATATATTTAGTCATTCATCCATATTTAATATACTATAGATAATTAGATAGTCGGGCCCCAACAATCATGAGGTTTAGACAAAACCCAAATTTATTTGACAAGAAACACAAAATCTTGAAGGGTTAGGCAGATTCATGTGGTCAATGGGGGAGCTCAAACTTGTGAATCCAATTAGCCAAAAGTTCATTTTGTTAGATACATGGATTGTTGAATGCTCGAGAAATTCAAAAGCTGCAGCATGGGCGGCGTCCAAAACTGTAAAGGAAAATCAAACATATATATTTTTTCCTTTGTGTTAATTGAATAGAAGTTCCTCCTAATGCATAAATTAACTCAAGACTAATCCCATACAAGTGAAAATAAAAAGAGGTATAAATAGACTCATTTAGCAACTACACTAAAAGTTGGCGGTAGCTTCTAAGAGTTAAAGGTAGTGAAGTCCCAACACCACAAATTGAGGTGAGTTGCCCTTGTTTCCAAGGACAGTGAGACTAGGTAAATAGGTTAAGTGCAAAAAAGGCCTTGAAGTTGATAGGCAAAACACCCCACAGTCCGTGGCATGCACCACACCTATGACCAATCTATAGAAGCCAACACCACATTGCTCCATAAATTGTAACGTCATAAGATGGCAAATATAAGAGGGACAGAAAAATAAGTTTTTGGAGGGACTCATTCACGTACCCAAAATGGAACACTAGAATTTTATTTTGCTTTTGTTTTAGAGCTGTATAAGGTGAGGGTCGTCAAGACCATCATAATTCATACAACACAAGTATACTTGTGTTCCAAACATTCCTTGTCCAACAAAAGAAGAAACACAACAAATATACACATAGATATGTAGTCCAAATACATACATATGTTCACAACGACCCTTTTATCTTTTTCCTTGTTCAACTGCTTTTACTTTGATTGGAAGACCAAAACGGGAAGAAAGATTACAGCTATAAGATACTGCTAGATCTCACTCACTTTGCTGACTAGGGGCAGCCTTTGTTCATCTGACCGAAACGTTTTATGTTCAGAAATGTTAAAGCTAAACAGCCTGCCCGTTGCCCCCTCCATGTTTGCCTTGTCTTGAACTGAGGTTACAATTATTTTTTTCTTTCAAAATTAAATAATTATTATTTAATTGAATAACAAAAAAGCTCTTCTCTACACTCACTCACTGCGCTTTATTCTGTTCAAATTCGATACTTTGCTGTTGTTGCAAAGAACGAGGCCAAATGTTTCCAAGAGAGAGAAACACAGCTTGAATCTCTCTCTCTCTCTCTCTCTCGCATTGTCTTGTTCTACTTCAGAATCTCATCTCACTTCCACGCATTAAAGACTTAAAGGCGTTGCTTCTCTTTCTAGTTGGTTGCATATTTACGGGGACTTTGCTTCCTTGTTCTTACACTTTTAAGAGTGTGGCTGTGGCATCACATCACAAGAGGGAAACACAACAACACCCCTTCTCCATTCTGCTGTATCTCTCCTTTGCTAATTTTATTTTATTTTCTCCCTTGTGTTGGGGAAGAGCACCAGATGAGAGCTTGTTCTTGTTCCTCTGTTGTCAAAGAAAGAGAGAGGGTGGAAGTTGGTGAAAGGGCCTTCACAAAAAGACAATTTTGTTCCTTCAATTTCTGAGAATTTTGGGTGACTCTTGGAAAACAACATAGCATACTTGAGGAGCTGTATGAGGTAGAAGATCAACAATGAGAGATGGGAATTCCAAGAAAAGCAAGGTTTTTTACCCTCTTTACTCTCTTCTGCTGATGAAAGATGGTTTTTTCTTTTTCTTTGGAAGGGAGGGGTTGTCCTGGGAAATGGAATTAAACATTTTGATTGTGCTGTTATTTGCATCTTTCAATTTTTTGGCAACTTGTTAAATGTTTTGTGTGTTTGGCGTGATGAAGCTCTCATGGTCGAAGAGAATGGTCAGAAAGTTCTTCAATATCAAAGGCAAAGCTGAGGACTCCTACCAATCAAATGGTGCTACTTATGGAGGTGGGTATCTTCGTTTTCTTCAAAAATTCCACTGTCTAAGAGTGATCGTTTTCAACAAAAATGGGGCACCAACATGGTGCGTGCTTCAATCCAATAAGATGCTAAAGCATTGTAGAATTCCGTGGTTCTATTTGAGTGGTGGAGAAACCGAGGGGATTAGATAAACAGCACCACACTTAGAAACAGAATTCAAACCTAGTATCATTCGTTAAGTTCTGTCTGATTTTGTTTTTATCTAAGAATGACAAGTTTTGCAAAACACTGACTCATGTCGGAAACTTACCTTTGTCTGAATTTTTATATCTACCGATTCTGTTTCTTACCGAATTTGTTGGCAGCCAAACGAAGAGCAAGCATATTTAAGACTCTAATATGCTTTTGGCTACTTTCACCTATAGACACAAGGCATTCCCATTTTTCTCCCCAAGGTTTGACCTCTTGTCAATTGTAATTTGATGCATTGAAATTTGTTTCCTTCTTCAGGAGGTGACGTGGAATACAGAAGCAGGAACAGCTTCTCCGAGAGAGAGCCGTGCACGATCAAAAAGAGCAAAACAGGTATACAATTACCCAATCCATTCTTTGAATCATTACCAATTTGAGAATCCTCATTTTTTATTTGTTCATACAAATTTTTTACAACCTCTCATTGTGATGTGCAGAGAAGTTTAGCAGGAACACAGAGCAGGTCAGGCGTGGAAGAATGAATCTTGACCATCCTCGAATTATTGATGTCCAAAACTATAGGTATGCTGCTCCTGTGATTTTACCTTTTCATCAAGAAAAAAAGTCATGCTTTGATGTGATCGATTTCTCATGAGTGCTTCCTTTTCTTTATGAGCAGCATTTTCGTTGCTACTTGGAATGTGGCTGGAAGATCCCCACCTAGTAATTTGAGTATAGATGATTGGCTTCATGCATCACCGCCTGCAGATATTTATGTTCTTGGGTAGGGTTTGGTGCTTGTCAACATCTTTTCCTAGCAAACGTAGTACTAGTTGTTGCTAATGACACCTTTCTACCTTTGTGTTTCAGATTTCAAGAGATAGTTCCCCTGAATGCTGGTAACATCTTAGGTGCAGAAGACAATGGCCCTGCCAAAAAATGGCTGGCTCTCATTGGAAAGTCTTTAAACAATCTTCCCGGTACTAGTGGAGGTGGTGGATATTATACACCATCACCAATTCCTCAGCCAGTGGTAGAATTGAATGCAGATTTTGAGGGATCGGCTAGGCAAAAAAACTCGTCATTCTTCCATCGGCGATCATTCCAGACAACTTCTAGCAGCTGGGGAATGGACAATGATCCTTCAACTGTTCAACCACGTCTAGATCGAAGATTCAGTGTCTGTGATCGTGTGATTTTTGGTCACAGGAAGAGTGATTTTGATCCCAGTTTTAGGTGGGGTTATAGGCCTAGTGACTATTCCAGGGCAAGTGATTACTCCAGACCCAGTGACTATTCAAGATGGGGTTCATCCGATGATGATAATGGCCTTGGAGATTCGCCAAGCACAGTCTTATTTTCACCAATGTCTTATGGTGGACCTCCCTGTGTTGAAGATGGACACGGTATGCCAGGGCGATCAAGGTACTGCCTTGTTGCGAGTAAGCAAATGGTAGGAATATTTCTTACCATATGGGTGAGAAGTGAATTGAAGGATCATGTTCGAAACATGAAAGTATCATGTGTTGGCAGAGGATTGATGGGTTATCTTGGAAACAAGGTGAATTTTAAATCAGTCATGATTGTCCTTAGTTTTATTCTTGCTTTGATATACTCAGCAAAAAATGCTGATTTCTTGATATTGGTTTACATGAGAGTTATTATGCTTGTATTTGCAGGGATCCATTTCAATTAGCATGTCTCTGCATGAGACAAGCTTTTGCTTCATTTGTAGCCACTTGACCTCAGGACAGAAAGAGGGTGATGAACTAAGAAGAAATTCTGATGTGATGGAGATTCTTAAAAAGACAAGGTTTCCACGTGTACATGGTGCTGACAATGAGAAGTCCCCAGAGACTATCCTTGAGCATGAGTAAGAATTTACTTGCATACATTACTATGATTAGTATTTTTTTTAACATGCGTATGAAATTTGAGGCCCTTCTCGCATGCTAACGCATTGTCTAGATTTCTTAACACATTAACAATTATGTCTCCCTACAATTCCCAAACCATTTATGATTGTGTTCTATTTTCATTTATCAGTTTTGCTTTAGATTTCAAATGTTCTAATTTTGGATTCATTTATTTAGTCGAATAATATGGCTTGGAGATCTGAATTATCGGATTGCCCTCTCCTACCGTTCTGCTAAGGCACTTGTTGAGATGCAAAACTGGAGAGCATTGTTGGAAAATGATCAGGTATGTCTATAACCACTTCCATTTCCTAGTTTTTCTTTTAACTTTAATTGTATTGTTGTAAAACAAAAACAATCAAAGTTAACACGTATATGGGCATTCCTGGCAGTTGAGAATAGAGCAGAAGAGAGGTCGTGCATTTGTGGGATGGAATGAAGGGAAGATTTATTTTCCTCCAACATACAAATATTCAACTAACTCAGATAGGTATGCAGGAGATGATATGCACCCAAAGGAGAAAAGGCGAACACCTGCTTGGTAAGAACTTCTTCAGTCACTTAGCCAGAGTAATAGCCATTTTGCTAAAAAGGCAAATATGATCATAAAATTTTGTCAAATTGTTGCAACTTATGCCAAAATAAATTTTTTATTTTTATTTTTTGTATAGGTGTGACCGTATTTTGTGGTATGGAGAAGGTCTCCATCAATTATCTTATGTCCGCGGGGAATCAAGGTTTTCAGACCACAGGCCAGTTTACGGCATCTTTTGGGCTGAGGTTGAGTCAAGTCATGGAAAATTGAAGAAAAGTATGAGCTGTTCTCGTTCCAGAATTGAGGTGGAGGAACTCTTGCCATATTCCCACGGATATACTGAACTAAGCTTTTTCTAAACATGGAAGGAAGGCTACTAGATATGAGATTTCAGGTACTCTCCAAGCCTTATGCATATGCTCACAATTACAAAAATACAAGATTCTTGCTTGTATTGCAAACTTCGGTACCTGAAATGATTTTTTTCTTTTTAATTTCATGCACATATAGTCATACATAAAAATAAAAAAACAAAACCTAGGTGGAGCTCTAAGCAAAGGCTCATGGGCCCTTTTTCTTATCTTATTGTTGCCTAGACCAAAAGTACAAGGTTCAGATGCTGTGACTGAATTATATTATATCTGAGCATAATAATGTGGATACAGATATGTTTCTTTGCCACTACCTGTGTCTTTCATTTCTATATATGCAAAGTGATTTCATCAATCCGTTAGCATAAATAATAGAATATGTTCACTGCATGGTCTGATAAATCACCATATCATTCTTTTCTGCTTTAAAGTCCTTTTGTTTTTTCCCTTGTTGTCATTTTCAGTTATTTTCCCCTCTGAATTAGAAATCTTACATGCACCTATACCTATTCCTATTCAGCACCCGGTCAACAAGCGGGAATCACTTTGAAGAAATTTATCCATGAAGGTTGATAGGGACAGCCCATTTCCCACATACCGAAAAAGGTTAGTTTTTTTTGTTTTTCTCTTTCATGCTTTTCTTGGTTCTTCTGCTTTTGTTCTCAACCTCTTTGTTTAATTTTAAATTTACTTTATCTTTGTGAGGTGCTAATATGTAATTTTGTTACACAGCCATCAGCCATGCCTTGCCTAACACATGTTAAGGACACAGTTCCTCATCATAATCTCGTTAGCTACTCACGCCAGCTTCAGTAATCAATACTGTGCAAGTGTGCATTATTTGATAGCCAATTAACAAACACTCAACTTTACAATGTCTCAAAACTCCGTACATTTTTTGGCAATCCCGCGCAATCATTAGGTACTATATTATTCTTTTCTCATTAATGTTGGTTTCTGTTTCTATAAATTAGTAAATTACTAGTGATACGCACGCTGCACGCATACTCATGATCAATGCTTTTTTTGTTGTGCAGGAGGCGGAGGGAGATAATTTTTTTATTAATGATTCTTTAATTGTTTTTGGAGAATATTCATGATGACTGAATGAAGGTGAAAGATTGAAAATAATCATTTGGGTACTAACCTTTTTTTTTTTTTTTACTGTTTCTAATGCGGAGATTATGAGAATTTTGATGTATACCGATTGCTACACTGGTGAAAAAGAAATTGTACAAAGAGAAAAAAGAAAGAAAATTCCAGTTAATTAATAGAATTACAGAGCTTCCACTGCTCATTTTCTGACTCTGTCTGCATTATTAATTATTTTACTGATAAAGTTACCTTGATATCAAATAATATTCCTCTCCTGCTCTTCTTTTTATTGTTGAGCTCATTAACAAACTAAAAAGGCTTAGACAGGTTCACAGGTTTCAAAAGTATATGGAGGTTAATGCCCCCTCTTCCAAAATTCTATATCCAATGTTCTTTAGTTCCTTGCCATAACTTTTTTGGTCTGTGTATTATGGGAATAAGGATTGCCAAACAACAAAAACAAATTAAGCATTAACAACGCGAACAACGGATCTCCATGAAACTTTTGGTTTCATATTCATACGAAAACATATTATCCAAACGGTTCAAGCTCTTTTTAGAGTGGCATTGAACGCCCCTTCACGTGACAAAATGTAAATGAGGGTACGCTTTGGAAAATTTTAGAAAAGAAGCTATTTCATGTCGCTAAGCATGTGAGGATCGATGTGCCTTAAAAGTTTGGAATAGTAACTACAATAGTGTCCAACGCCTTGCAACATAAGTAAATAAATAGCTTATCTAGTCATATAAATTGCAGGGATTGTAACAAGCGGGAACTATTGATAAAAGTTTCTTTCTTTAATAGAAAAAAAATAAACAATTCATTTCCAGTAAATTTAATGAGATTTTCCCGGCCAGAAAAGGCAAAATACAGTGTTTAATGATGTTTTTAATTATACTGTTCTACTTTTTGTCAAATATGTTGTTGAAGAAGCAATCAAAATAATGACAGGAGCTTGCATGTGTTAATAATGACAGTGTCCCTTGTCACCCTGATTCTGTTCTTGTGAGTGGGGAACTAGTTCAAAGAAAGTTATCCTTAAGAGTTTTGATAGAGATGTGGCATGGTGCATGGACTGTAAAAAAGGTAGATTTGTTATGACTTTTCCTAGTGCTGTTGCAGTTCTTCAGCCAGAGCCATTTTGTTGGATTTGTGCTTTGTATTTCTGATTCAGTTCCTTTATGGTTAGTCTCTTTCATCTATTTTGTGATTCATATAATTTGTTGAGGACCATAGCTTTTTCTGAAATTCTAATTTTCCAAGACTTTATAAAAATCTGAGCATGGACAAAGGTCACAAAGATTTCAGTTGAAGCCTAACAAAAAGTGTTCCCTTGGTACACCAATTATCATTTGAAGCAACGAGTAAAGAGATAATTAAAGTAATATTTAGCTGAAATAAATATAAAAAAATTTCTGCTCTGTCCCTCTATAATAAGTGTATGAACTTGCAATGAACTAATAATCAACTGGTCACATTGTCTTTTCTTGAAAGCTAAATCATGCATTAGATCATCTCTCTTTAATGCGCTCCCTTTCCCTTGTGGCCAAACCTGATTTGGAATAATGTTCCTCAAAATAACATTTTTATTATCAATGGGACTTATAACTAAAAAGAAACAAAGTTGAAACATCCTAACCAATCTAGAAAAAAACACATCCTAAAAATCTCTTTCAAGAAAGGAAGTACTCGATTTAATTAAATTTTAAGTATAATGGACAAAGGAAGATGCATTAATAAAATTTTTAGAATAATATTAATTACATACTCTAACACATTTTTCATTTGTTATTAATTAAAATTTATAAAAAATTATAAAAAGTATACAAGTCTCGCTCTTAAATTGATATTTTTTATAATTTTTAATTTTTAATAAATTTTAACAAATAATAAAGAGTATGTTATTTTAAAATTTTTGGAATAAATCATTATTTAGCAAATATATCCTTCCAGATTACTTTTCGGCTCCTAAACTGGGCCCTTTAAAACTGTGGTCCTGGCCAGGCCCTATTAACAGGCCTGCTCCCCCAAACATTTTTCAAAATGCTATCCAAAAAGCTTCACCTTAAAGCTCGTTTATTTACAAAACGACAAAAACAGTTGTTTACAAGCATGCATTTTATCATAAAATCAATCGTTTTAGAGGACTCAAATTGGTTGTAATAACCCCTGACTTAAACAGCTTCCCACTTCATTAGTTGTTGAGATAAAGTGCTTCATGGAAATTGAATGTATCAGCTTCATAAGTTATCTTTTCTCTATTCTTTGATTACAATCAATAAATATGAACTTGATACAACTTAGAGTGTGTTTAAATAACAGTTTATTTAAGTATTTATCAACTTTTTTTTTAAATGATGACTTATCTCTTAAATTTAATAATAGAATTTATTAAAATAAACTAAAAAAATATATCAAGATTCAATAACGTTCTTTAAAACAAACTAAAAATAGTTTGAAAGAGTCAAAAAGTCTTCCAAATAAGCCCATAATCAATAATTAAGAAGAGGAAGATTAGCAATATATTATTTTAAACGCATTATTATTTGTTTATATTTTTAAAAAGTTAAAATATTTTTTAAAACTTCTTTTAAAATATACATATTTTAACTTTAAAAAATTTATCACATAATATATATTAAAAATATGTTTAGAAAATGTGTTATAAAGTTTTTTAAAATTAATAATAAAAAATGATAATCATCATTTTAAGTATACTGTTCTAAAAATAAACAACAGAAACTTTATTGAAAAGCAGGTTAATGAATTCATCTCATAATATATCTTTAAAACATTGATTAATATCTCTAACAATGCCACCACTAGTCATAATTACAGTTGAATATATATTTTTAATTTTAAAAAATATATTTAAAATTATTTAATAATTATATATAGTCTATTAGTGAAAAAAAATTATTAGTCCCTCCTAATGATAATTTATACACAGCTTTGCTATCACTATTAGAGATAAGAATAAGAAAGAAAGAGTCTTACAAAATATAGGACACATGTAACTCAAAACCTTAAAATAATAAATGTAACAGTCATTTTTTTTAACGATCCTTAGCTAGTCTATATCTTATCATATGTAGTATTTCTTATTTATTCGCACTTAATTCTAACAATTAATAATAATAAAAAATATTTATTGTATTTTTATAATTTTAATACAATAAATATGTATTTTTTTTAAATATTTAAACTCAGCCCTTTACAAAAAGAAAAAACCTCTATTCAATAAGATTATAACAATTAAATATTTTTTACGGTAACTATTAAAATTAACTCGTCAACAAAAGATATTTATCGATTATAACTTGAAAATATAGCTATATATTTTAAGAATTTTTTGTAAAGAATATTTGCTTATATTGTATCTCATAATTTTCATACCTATAGCCATGCAACATAGTTAAAAACATTAATGATGTTTACAATAAATAATGGGAAGATGGAGAAAAGAATTAAGCCAAATAAACATAAACATTCATCATTGTCATATTCCGAGTTGATAAATATTAAAGTATTGTTTGCGATTTCAAAAATAAATTTTGTAAGTTATATATCAACACACTACAGTGATTTTAAATTTTCAATAAATTGTTTACTTTTAATTTTTTAACTAACTTGCTTAAGATGTTTGCAGAATTTAAAATTTTTAAGTGACATTCTTTAATTTAATAATTTAAAATTAAAAAATAAAATATCATAAAACCTTTTAATTATTTTATATTATGTTTATAATTATGGTTCTCTTGTTTCAAAATAAAATATTACTATAAATTTTCTTTATTTCTAAATAATCTAACTCTTTATATATACTGGATTATCGATGAAATTTATTACCTTTCTGTCCAAACTAGCATGGCCCCTTTTATACTGAAAGTAATGTGTACACAACCCGAGGTAAAAAGAGCTAAATTTCTACGTTTAAAAACAATTAGTTATAATTATATATATAAAAAATTCTGATAAAAAAAAAGAAGTAAAATTTTATATCAACTGCGTCTAATCCAAATATTTTAGTTTTCGTGACATTTAAAAAAAAATCTATTGTATCCTTTATAATTAAAAGAGTTTAATATTCTTTCTTACACGTAAAATATTATCATTAATTTTATGTTAATAAATAATAAAATTAGTAATTTAGTTTTAAAAAAAAAGCATTAATATTTAAGATATTAAAAACTTTACAACTGTTAATACAAAAATAATATAAAATATTTTCTTAAATTTAAAGGTGTCATAACAAATAATTTTTTTTTAAGAAAACAGAGTTTCACTAAACAAAAATTATTATAAAAAAAATGGCAAAAGAAAAATCATTCAGTGAACCAACTAATAAGAGTGATAATTCGGCTCACATAATTAGCTGTTTTATTTACAAAAGTACTATTATAAAAGAAAGGGAATGAGCAGAGTAAACGAGTAATGATATATTCGCATTCCACTTAATATTAGTAGCAAAAGCAATTAGAGAAATTTAACTTGGTAAACTATTTTGCTACAAATTACTCAAGTTAATTTGTGTATGTGAACATAAAATCTCTTTAAATTTTCTTAAAGTAATGCAGTTTATGCATTCATAAATATCATTTTTGAGTATTATATATGAGAAAGAACAATAATTTTTCGTAACTCTTGCCAGTGCTCATATTGTCTTCTGAAAACTATGGTTCTTGAATTGTTGGCGGTCGAGAAAACGTGAAAGGTTAAGTGAGGTTTGGTCAAAGTGGAATCTGTTAATGTTAAAAGGTGATATGATATATATCGTGCAGGGTGCAGCTAGCTAGGGTTCATAATGCATCTAGTTAAAAGTACAGTTGTACAATCGTATTCTTGAATTAAAAATGATCAAAATATGAGGAACAACTCTTTTATGTTGGAAGGAAATTCAGGCTATAGCTATATTCTACAACTTAGACGTAATCATTTTTGCATGTCACTTGGTCAAATCCAACCTAATTCTCGCACTCTTGCTCGTAAAAAACCCAACAAACCGTTAATTTGAGTTACAGTGGCACTTGAGTAAAACTGCAACTCAAATTCAAGCCTAAGCTGTTGCCCAAGCCACACAATTTCAGAGCAGTCATAAAGTGATCACTGCTATTTATAGTGTAGATCACATTCGGCTTCTCATGGTTTTGGTCGGATGCAAGCAATACAAAAAAGGATAACTGCAGAGCTACATATACATATAGAGAGAGTAGTCATAAAAAAATCTTTCAGATCTATTATAATATTGAATATATCACTAAGAGCTATTAAAAATAGATTTAAATATATTTTCAATTCTTATATCTCTGTCAAAATTTAAATTTTAGTCTTTTTTAAAAAATTTATTAGTTTATAACTTTGTTTAACTCAGCCATTTTTAATCTCTCTCACTAATCATACTGTGGTGCAAAGAAAAAAAAATAGCATGACACAAAATTAATATCTTAAATAGTCACGTCATCACCAAAGATCAAAAGTGTTAAATTTAAAAAATAATAGTAATCTTTTTTTAAATAATTAAATTAAATTATTATAAAAATATACAAACTAAAAATATTATAAAAATTTTTAGTTTTATGATATTCATACCAGAACTTTTAAAAGATATATAGCAGAAAAATATTATAAACGTACGCCGAAACCTAAAAAGAGACAGGTGCCACCATTCTAAGGTATAGAAGTTGATTATATTCAAGTCAGAGTTCAAGTTGATCTAATCTAATTTAATGCCGTACTATAATATTTCATTATTTAATCATTTCAAAATTAATAAATTATAAGAATTTTTATTTAAATTAATGTTTTTTTCGTATTATGATAGATTTTGTTTCGAAATAGTAAAATATTCTTCAATGTAATTTGTTATTTACACCTTTATAATTTTCTAACCAGCGTTTGATGAATTTAAAAAGTTAACCAAATAAAAATTTGGATAAAACTGCGAAATCCTCAGCCTAAATCATCAAAATCTGTCATTCAATCTGCAGTGATCGTACACTAATGCAATATTGCTATCTGCTAATTCACTCTCTCTGCAGTATAAAGGAATATATTGTTACTGCACTCTCTCTCTCTCTCTTCATCAAGGTTATCATTTATCAGTATCATTGCGTGGTGCTTGTATCATTTCTTCCTCAAAGTTAGTATCAACTGTACTGAATTAGATTGTTGAGAAATTATTCAGGATTTTCAGCTCCTTCCTCTCAATCATAATCTTCAAGAGGACTTTTTACTTTTTAGTATAATGTTGGTAACTCTCTAGCGTTTGACACTTTCCTCGCAGGACGCCTCCACAGAAAATGCAGATATGAATGAACGACAAATTTGGAAGCCAACTATGTAATAATAAATTAAGGTGATTAATGATTATGTTCAGAATTTTCTTTTACAAAACATACAGTATCACGTATATCTTTAATATTATTTTCTAATTAAGATTGAAATTTCGCTTTATTAACCTGTTTAACGTTAACGTTTATTGTATATAGTATTTGTATGTTTTATTTTTCCCCTCTAAGATTTTATATCTAATCCTACATGTCTTTCTCCTATCACTCGATTTGAGTGTAACAAGAACTGTCATTTTCTCTGTTTGATCCATGTTATCTAAACCTTATATAACGTCGATGATAAAATTATACTGAAATTTGTAATTTCTTTTGAATAATTAAGAATATAGAAAAGTCAATAAATATTGCAAATAAAAACCAAGTCGCATCGATGGATTAAAGTCGGACCAAAACATGAACCAACATCAGATTTTTTTTAACTGCAAAGACAACATGTATTAATTATACTTTTTCATTTACTATGTTGTGGAATGCTTAGGCTTCTGTAAAAAATGAAGGCAGATCCAACGGTCCTAAACAAGGGGATTCCTTAGACGTCTTTTCTCTCTTTTTCAGTAATAGAAGGATTAAGTATCCGTTTATTTTAAAATTAAGTAAAATTAATATGAACCATATATTTTTATTAAATTTTTACGTGTATTATATTAAAAGTATAAAAAATAAGTTTCTAACAAAAAACAAACAAACTTTTAGGGTTGGGGTAAATAGCTTGGAAATTTCTCATGTACAGTATGCTGACAATACTCTCTTGATAAGAAAAGTATCTATTAATATTCTATGGTGTTTAAAACAATTCTCAAATGTTATGAAGCAGTGTCAGACCTAAAGGTGGACTGAACTTTTTTTTTCTTCTAAAAAGTAGCCTTATATATTGATGTTAACGTAGTAAATTACTTCTTAGTAACGGCATTAAAGTTTTTTACTTACAAAATTGACTATATTCCCTTTTAAATTTTGAGATTGCCTATTAGAGCCAGCCCTAAGAAAATGGATGCAGTCTCCTATTTTTTTTTCTGTGACACTAATTGAGGCTCTCTCTATTTGGAAACATTTACACCTGTCATTGGGGGTAGCTAGGATAACTAATAAATTTTGTGTTTTTCAATCTTCTATTATATTATTTATCTTTGTTTAAGCTGTCAACAAAAATTTTAGAATTTTGGTCGCATTCAAAGGTTGTTCCTGTGTGGTTTAGAAGGAAATGTGAAAATTTCTCGAGTAAATGGAGAATCTATATAAGCTTAAATTTGAAGGTAGGCTCAAAATAAAAAATCAACAATGGTTTAACTTGATTTTATTGGGAAGGCGGTGAGGGAGATTCCCCCAAGAAGAGGTATACTATCTAACATAAAATTCTAAGGTCCAAAATTCAAAATTTGAGGATCCCAGTAATATTTTGCCAAAAGAAGTTCTTCATCATGGCGGAGAGATATTTGCTATAATGACAAATGCAGTGTATTTGTCTTAGACTGATTTCAAAATGGGGTGAACAATGCAAGTAATGACCACACATTATCCAATTTTAGCATGACACTAGGCTGGGGTCAAATTATAGCTTGAAAGTCTCTTTTCATAGACCTTATCTCATTTGAGAGAATAAAAGTATATTCATTAAAGATGAATTGGATTTGGTAGTTAGAAAAATCCAGTCTTTATTCCATAAAATCAACTTATATTCTTCTTTGTAACCCCAACTTCTATATATGACAAGATCATATCTAGAAGTTTAGAACTAAAGTTCTTGTCTACATAAATGCTTGACCGCTCTTAAAATTCCCACATTTTCATGGCAACTCTTTAAGAACGTCATCGCTACAACTTTTGTTTTGGCTTGTTGATTTTTATTACATCACATCTGGAATTATTTGTTTCCCTAAAACTATTAATCACATTGCTACAAATCTAAAAATACACCCATCCATTCAATCATTTCATTTACGATACAACTTGGTCCGTCAACCTATATAGACAGATTGATTTGAGTATTGCTAGCTGTTACAAAAGATTATTGTGCCTGTAGTAACTAATGTTTTGTTCATCAATTGAAATTGCTCTAGTAGGATTTATGATTATTATCAGACCAAAGTCATTGTCAACTCTTGAGTGCATGAATTTCTATGTTCTCATCGTCCATATTCTTCTTATTCAGAAATGTATACGTAAATATGTGTATCTAGGCTACATATATCGGTTAGACCAAGAGTTCGTCAATTCACTCTTCGGGAGAAAGAGCGGTCAACATATATAGTTGATAGGAAGACAGTAAATATACTTGAAAGAGATGATGAGCAAGTTCAAGATTGAATCCCAAAATTTTAGTATGATAGAGATCTAACTGATCTTTTGCTATCACAGTAGGAAAACATCTTGGTTGTCCAATTAATGGACAGTGTGTAGTTACTTATCCATGATTTCATCAAGAAAGAGAAAATGAATTTTTCTTTCATAATTTTTTGAAATAAATGAGGATATCATATTATATTATTCTTTCGTGTTTGAGCCAATGCATACCTAGTCTCTCTTTGTACCAGAAGTTAGTCGTTTCTTTTCATAACAGGTTATTCTTAGAGCAGACTAATTTTATACTAATTAGCATATCCCCGAATCTATGGGCAACAATATAAATAAAATAGAAAAAGCTGCTAGAGAGTGGCTGTAGTACTTGAGACTAGTTTAGTCCAATCACACTTACATATCAGTGGTGTGAAATAATACACGGAGCAACCTTTATCCACCACACTCAATTATCAGCAAGAAATTAATCGGCGACAACATTGCAAAGTGGGAATATTGGGCAGGAAATTAAGCTAACTGGTAGAGAAGGCAAGAAAGATGTTTCCATGACCCTTCTAGAAAGCAAAATATTCATTCTGATTGATCAAATATATTACGGAACAGATGAAATTGAAAACTAACATGTCAGTGTCGACGCTGATTATTTGGCGCACTCCGTCCAAGAATTTCCGAAGATTTGAAACTCTACAAATCAGGACTCAAATTTCTAAGCATCATATTATGATTGAAAGCGTAAAATAGCAGATCTATAGATTAAGGTAATATGTACCTGTAGACAGATTCATACTAACAGATTCTTCAATAACGTCAAAACAATCCGTGTATGCTTCACTGCCATTAGGCCATCTTGCACTTGCACAAGTCTGAGGCTGAATGGGTGGTACCAATTGTTGTTGGATTTGAGGATTTGAAGTGCGCAACATTTTGGTACTTGTCCTTTCTCTTGCTCTCGCTCTCGCCCTTACCCTACACTCCTTTTTTGCCTGAAAGCAAACACGTTCCTTCTTCAGCTTCTTCTCTTTGGTACCTTCCATCAGCATTTTGTTATCATGTGAATTATGAACCCCTTGTTGTCCTTGTATCTCAGAAGAGAAGCAGAAGCACATGGCAGGCCCACTGCACCTGTGCTTGCTTCCAGCAAGTTCCTTAATTGCATTCTCACACTTGGCGAAGAGCCACTTGAGAGTGTTGCTTGGCTTGTCATGCTCCAGCATGTCCTGAAGATCAAAGAACTTTCGGGCTATTTCACTGGACAACCTCACCCTACGATCCCTCAAACCCTGAGACGTGTGAATCTTGCTGTGCCCATCTTTCTTGGTGCTCATAATTCTACCATTGTCATTGTTAATGGTCTGCTTTTGAAGAGTAATAGCATAGTCTGCAACAGTCAAATCTGAGATTGGAACCGCAAGTGGGTGAGCGTCATAAAGGAGGGTGTTAATTTCAAAAGCATTTTCAGATTCAGTCAAGAAAGGAAGAGGAGGGTAATAAGATGGTGATGAGGGTAAGCTTGGGAAAGGGTTGGTGGGGTAATTGGAAGAGAACATCTCCAAATTGGAGGGAATGTCACAGATGAAAACCCTAGCTAGCTTTGTGACTCTAATTATATACCATTGTCCATATAGCAGATCTATTTGTAGAATTAAAATCTCTTTAAATCTCTTTCAAATTATGGTACAATATATATATAAGTATGACCCCCATTTCGAAAATTAACAAGTTGTGGTTGCAGAAAGTAAGATGCAGAAGGGGGAGTTGAGTTTAGGGTGGTTTTGGGATAGGGAGAGGGATAAGTGGAGAACACAGTATGAGAAAGACGACAACATGAGAAAGACACACAGAAATTGAAGTGGGTCTCTGCACCACATTATGTGGAAATGGCGTAACAAAGCACGGACTATAAGAAAAGCAAATCAAGCAGCCTGTGTTTTCGAATGAAGGGCCCGTTTAAATAATTATAAAGTTATTAAAGTACGTCGAAATTTGTGAAATATTTTTTTATTATTTTGTTAATGTAAAATATTAAGATTGATTTTAACCATTTAAAAGTAATAATTTTTTTACCAATTAAACTATATTGGGAATATAATTTTTATATTAATTATTATATATAGAATATTAGTATAAAAATTTAATTTTATTACAATACTTATTATATTAATGATGCAAAAGTATAATAAATAATTTTAATAAAGTTATTATTTTAGATATTTACACTTGAAGTCAAATGCTAAAAGCTAACAGTTCTAAAAAAACTTAAATTGTATATTTTTAGAATTTTCAAAAATTATGTTTTATCTCATTATATAGAAGGACCTTTTTTCTTGTTTATTCTTAACATTTTTGGCAATTAATGTTAATTAACCCAATTATCAGTTGTGCTGTTTTAGAAGATAAAATAATATTTTTTGTAATAAAACTACAAAGCTAATATTTAATAACATTAACCAAAAGTTGCGAGTACATAATTTATAATTTGTAGCTGCATGTAAAACTAGAAGTTAGTATGTAACAGAAGGTTTATGATTACGTATATGATTAAGTGAATTATATTTTTTTTATGAAATGTATATTAATATAACACTAAAATTAAATACTTTCATTTTATTTATTGATTGATTATCAATTAATTAATTTTAATTAAATATTTATTTTATGTCAATCAATTAATTGAGTAAAGGGTAATAGTGGTCTCTGGTACAATGAGGGAGAAAAAAAAGTTTTTTTTTGTTAGACATAATTATTATACAAGATTAAAAATTTAAAATATTAAAATGAAAATGACAAAAATTTATTCATAGCTAAGTTTTAAAATTTAAATGTTATTTCAAGTAATATTTTAAATTTTAAATTTTAAATATTATGAGTACTTTTTATTTGTTATTTATTAAATAATTTTATTGAATTATTGAGCAAATCAATAAATTAAAAGATCCTAACTAAGCTTTAAATTTGCATTGCCAAACACATTTTTGATTTTTGATTAATAGAGTTTGAATTATGTGAAATTTTAATATTATTTGTAATTATTTATATGTATTTAGTTTTAGAATCATATGAATTTATATATTTTTTATAAGTTTTTTTTCATCACCAGTGCTAAATATCTTCTATAAGTGTAATATAATTTTTTTTATTTTTTTAAATAAAGTATCACTCCTACAGGTGTAATATTTACTTATTATTATTTTTAAATATAGCACTATAGTAAAATATCATATAAATTTGTATTATATATTATATTTTTAAAAATAAAAGACTATTTTTAAAATAAAAATTAAACATGCTCTTAATTTTTTTTTATCATTTTTTAAAATCATCGATATGTATTTTAAAAACAAAAAAAAAGTGCATGAGAGAAATTTTTCTGCAAGAAATATTTATGGAGATGTAATGGTCCATGATACCGAAGTTGAAGCAGAAGAGGATGAAAATGATTTTGTCACTAGGCCAATGTTAAGGAGCAGACCCAAACACAATAGAGTTAGGCCAAAGTATTTTGGAGACTATGATTGTACTGTTAAGGGTAGATTGAAATAGGTGACAGAACTTATTATGGGCATAAGGGCTGGGTAGTACTACCTTAGTAGTTAGGATTCTTTGATATTGCTATTTTTTGTTTGTGACATGTCCCTTCCTCTAGTTGCTTGAAAATAAAAAAATCTTCCAAGAGGAGATGCACGCAAGGATGACCAACTTGGAAGCCCAAATGGTCGCTCGAATTAACACTGAATTCTATCATAAGTTTGTCAAGCACTACACTTCAATAGCTGCCCCTCTCACCAATTTACTCAAGAAGGACTCATTTGCTTGGTTAACCGAAACTCAACAATCATTTGATTAATTGAAGGTTGCCATGACTTAAGTCCCAGTTTTGTCATTGCCTAAGTTTTAAGAGGATTTTATCCTGGAAACTGTTGCTTATCGGCAAGGAATAATGGCAGTTCTATTGCAAAATAACCACCCTATTTTGTATTTCAGCAAAAAGTTCTGCCCTAAATTACTCTCATCCCCTACTTATGTCAGAGAATTGCATGCAATCACAGCTACGATCAAGAAGTGGCGTACTTATTTGTTAGGTAGACAGTTCATTGTCCTTATTGATCAGTGTAGCCTTAGGGAGCTAATGACTCAAGTAGTGTAGATGTTGGAATAACAATACTATTTGTCCAAGTTATTTGGTTACACATATGAGATAGTATACTAGCCGGGGGTGACTAACAGAGTAGTAAATGCTTTGAGCAAGGTGCATGGAAACCCTACTCAAATGATGGGGCTAACTGTTCCATAATGTGACTTAGTAGAAAAAATTCAAGCAACCTATAATTCTGAACCTAACGTCCAGGCATTCTTCATTGCCCGGGGGAATATCCAAAATTTAAAATTGTTAAAGGGGTTCTCCTTTATCGTAATAAAATTTACCTCTCCAAATGATCGCATTTTAAATAAGTTTTATTGAAAGAGTTCCATGCCACACTGATGGCTAGACATGCACGAATACATAGAACTTATGGAAGGCTGTGTCACAATTTCTTTTGTCAAAGCATGCGTTGTTTGTCAACAAGTTAAGTCCCCTACACACCTTCTTTATGGGCTACTACAATCTCTTGAGCCTCCCATGCCAGTATGGGAAGATATCTCATTTGATTTTATCATAGGGCTCCCTTCGTTCCAAACATACAATATTATTTTGGTTGTGGTTGACAGGTTTTTGAAGGCTGCCCACTTCGAAATGCTCCCCACTAACTTCACGGCGGTAAGAATTTTAGAATTATTTGCATTCATGGTTTGTAAGTTGCATGGCATGCCAAAGAGTATCGTTTCAGATGGTGACCCAGTCTTTATGAGCAGCTTTTGCCAAGAGCTTTTTCAAGTAAGTGGCACCGAACTTCGAATGTCTTCAGCTTATCATCCACAAAGTGATGGCCAAACAAAAGCCGTAAATAAAATGTAGGAGCAATATTTAAGGGTGTTTGTTCACACGGAACCAAAGCTATGGGGAAAATACCTCCATTGGGTTGAATGACACTATAATTCAGCCAAGCATACAACTATCAAAGTCACAACTTATGTGGTCGTTTATGGCCAGCCACCTCCCTTATTACCACAATATATTGTGGGTACTAGCCATAATGAAGCTGTTGATTCAGACTTAGCTGCACGACAGGAACTGTTGAATAAATTACGTTCCAAGTTACTCAAAGCCTAATCTATAATGAAGTATTATGCAGATAAAAAAAAGTTGTCTCATCCCTTCCAAGTAGGTGATCAAGTTCTAGTTAAATTGAAACTATATCGTCAGGTAATGGTAGGAAACATTAGAGCTTCAAGGCTTACTCAACGCTTTTATGGTCCTTTCTGTATTGTGAAGCAAATTGGTGATGTTGCTTTTCAGATAGAGTTACCTGATGGAGTTTAGATTCACCTCATTTTTCATGTTTCTAAATTGAAACTATTTAGCAATAATATTGATACTCTTGCTTTAGAGTTACCTCCTGTAGCTTATAATAATCAACCTAAATTACAAACTCTTGAGATATTGGATTGGCGTAATTCTCTCATGTCTAGTGCATGTGAGGTGCTGTACAGTGGAAAGGCTTGTTTCTTGATGACACTAGTTGGGAAGATCTTGAGCTGCTACTCAAAGAATATCTAAACTTGCACCTTGAGGAAAAGGTGTTTATTGAAGGGAAGGGGATGTAAAGGCCCATGATAATGAAGCTGAAACAAAGAGGATGAAAGTAATTTTGTCACCAGCCCGATGTTGAGGAGCAAGCCCAAACGCAATAGTATTTTGGGGACTATAATTGTACTATTAGGGGTAGATTGAAGTAGGTAACATGACTTATTGTTGGCATGGGGGTTGGGTAGTACTTTCTTGGTAGTTAGGATTCTTTGGTATTGCTGTTTTTTTGTTTGTGACGTGTCCCTTCCTTTGGTAGGCACCACCTTGTTATATGTATTTATTTTTTGTATTGAATGAGATATAGAAGGAATTATCAGTACTTACTTTTTTGTTTATGAAGGAAGCCAAACTTATAAAATAGGCATTACAAGCAACATGCATGATCCATAGAATGGCAGAAAACACAAATCATATGAGTAAAAATAACAAGTAAAAGTTTGAAGCTTAAATATGGTCACCACAAACATGGTCAAATTCAATTTAAATAGATCTTCAGTAAACAAAAAAAAAAATTTGTTATTTCTTACTTGTACCTGAGTTTGATTCTAAGATAATTGAAAACTGAATTCTCTTTGATTTATGCAACTAGATGTCCAATTTTATAAGTTTTTTTATAAATTTTTGCTATGGAACATGACTCTTTTCGCTTAAGCAAGTGACTTTTTAGCTTTTTGACGGTGGTTTCCACCCATTTTTATTTTAACAAAAGCACTTCTCAATCATAGTCTTTAAAAAAATTAAAACATATCTTCATCATTATTTACACCTTCTTCTTACGTATTACTTCTTTAAATCATGAACATAAGGAAAATATGGATATGCACTTTGTGCTTGTTTATAGTTTGCTCTTCACATCTTCAT